ACAAACCCCCTTCCAAGACTAAGACTCAATGGGAGTACACGCTTTGATTGGTGACCACGTTTGTCACTGATAAGGAGAAGTGAGGGTAAAACAGTAATGAAGCTGCAAGCTAAGCCCTACAATGTTCAATGGATCCTTGTGAACCTGGGTGGAGACCCGGTCAGCTAGCAGTGTGGCAAGACCTGGGGACTCATGGGCCCAGAGTTAGTGACATAGCCACAGAGGACTAGAGTGGAGAGTGAGGCATCCAGCTGGTAAGAAAAGAGGGCATATGCATAAGAACACCCACATTTGCAAATAATACCCACTTGACCTGGCTCAATGACTGGATGATCAGAGCTTAATTAGAAGAAGAAAGAAGATGAAAAAAAGAGTAATCTGAAACAATTTGATGAACTTGACCTATACCTATGGATGTAGTGGCTCAAAAGAGGGAACAAATCTTTACAGCGTGGATCATCCACACTCCCTTCTTACACAGAGTCGCCAGGATGGGAAACTTGGACATTAGCTACCCAAAATGGGGTGGCTACAAAGGCAAGAAGTGACTGGCTTACAAGCTTTCAAGAAGAAGCTTAGATCCAGAGGTTTCAGAGGACGGTAGAATCTCCACTGAGTAGTATCCAATTTATCTGGATGGGGCTAATAAAAGGAGATGGAGATAGGTCCCTTGTGGTACAATGGTGAATAATTGTTATCAGGACTGACTGCAAGGGTCGGAAATGTAAAGGTGGATGTTTTGTAGCAAAAGTACGGGAGTGATTGACTCTGCAGTCCAGGAGTGAAGGTTCCTGGGACCATCAAGGGAGAAGAGTGGAGTGTGAGACCCTACCCAGAAGCAGTGATGCCAGAGATGGAGGAGAGATGGGGCACTTGGGGACTAGACCCAGAGAGGGAGAGGGGCTGTGTGCTGATGACAGGGGGGCAGGCTTGCAGGGTATACCTTTTGGTTGGTGATGATGCATGGAGGGGATTGTAACCATGGCAATGAAATGATATACGAAAGGATAAAGCTAATGTTTTCCCATGTAAACTATCACATAATTCACAACAAAACATTGAAAAGAGAATTTGGCATATAAACAAAGAAACAAACCTATGAATTGCTGTCTTCTGCAAATTTAGAAAAGGATCCTTTCCCATAGACAGTAGGTTACTTAATGATCAAGTGTGCCTGTGTGTTCTTCCAAGAATACCAGAATGCTATCTAAGGAGCCAATACTGCTTATCAGAACACAACTCAGGAAATAAAAGAGGAACTTAATAGTAGCTTCTTTTTCCTCTTATATTAATAATTTATAGACTCAGAAATATGTATATGTTGACACTATTAATAATATCTCATTTAGAATCCAATTATTGTTAAGTGCCAATGAGTAGATTCCAACTTGTAGAAACCCTGTATAGAATTTCCCAAACTTGAAATCGTCACAGGAGCAGAAAGCCTCATATTTCTCCCGAGGCTGCAATTAAGGTTATATAAATCTTATTTGTTGTTAAAGGCATGTCTATTCCTTTATTCGGACTGGAAGTGTTCAATTACATTGTTAAAACTAGTTTGTTTGCATATGAAGTAGATAATGTCCAATACTTAAAGGCTGTAGGCATTCATACATGTCATATACATACTATAGATTTAACCTCTGTGAGAGTAACACTTATATTTGATTATTTATTCTGAACAAAGTAGAAAATACTATAAACATCAAAACTACCTCACACCAGTCCATAGGAGCATCAGGATTGTTGCAGAGCTTTCTGTAAAAGCATTTCACATCTTGATTTTTCACTTCTGGACCAAAAAGTTCTTGCACTGTCCCATAAAACTTGTCATAATCAATTGCATCTGCATTGTAACAAAGTATAAATACACCATTATCAATATGTAAGAACACTTTTAATGTTTTCCAGCTGCTTATTATATTTCATAACCTTTTAAAAAATTATTTGTATTTATAAAACCAGATTTATTAACATTTTTAATATCTTATCTCTGAAAACAAAAATAAGCCATTTGCTAGAACATCATTAAGTCAAAGGAAAATATTTTATTTGTGTATTTAGTACCTCCTCTATAGCTTTTATTTCAATTATTTTAGGCATCTTGTTCTAAAATACAAAGATAAATCAATGAATTATTTCTTTACTATTGTGAAAATTGCACCAATCAGAGTCTTGCTAATGTTCATCTTATATGTAAGGCATAAACTACA